AGATGCCACGTTCACTCAAAGCCACATTTATTGAGCCTTTGAGCCAGGAGGAGCTCCACAAGCTTCCTCCGTATGACGTCACTTCTCCCTCTTACAGATGCAGAAACAGAATCAGGAGACCCGGCCAAGGTCACCCAGCACAGCCAAGCTACAGTTCCAGGAAGACACTTTGGCTCCTTCACTGATGCTCTTCACCAACCAGCTCTAAAATCTACACCAAAAAAACTGGACTCCTTCCCAGATGCCTGGCTTCTTTCCAAAATAAAACTGCTTCCAACAAAGGCTTCCGGGGTCCCTCATCGGAGGACTGGTTAAACAATGTTGCACTGATGAGAGAACATTTTGTGGCCATTGTAAAGGGCTCCAAGGAAGAGCACAGGAAGACAGGAGGGATGCTGGGAGTGAGGGTTAACAGGGGAGGGAAGCTGGTCCAGACCCTAGTCCATGATCCTGCTTTGTAACAGAAAATGCATGTAGAAAACTATATCAAGACTACAGATAAAAATGGGACCCACGGTTCACCCGGGGTGATGCCACTGTCAGCTTCCTGAGGACAGGGTCTTCTGGGCTCCTGTCTATACCCTGGGGGCCTAGAGGGGTCCCCCTCCCAGCAGCCACTGATGCACACTGAATGGATCCTGGAGCAAGGGAAGAAACCCGCAAATACCTGAGTGGCAAAACCGTAGCTGGGCCGATCTTGGTGTTGTTCTCTTCTTTGTGTGCAGTCTTCACCCTGAGCATTCTACAGGGACATGCACTAGACAGCGCGGAGACAGAGCCCGAGCCGAGCCTCGCCATCAGGCACGACCTGGGAGCCCTTCCCAGGACAGTCTGACAGAGCCCGCGTCCAGCCAGCCCAGCCCACACCTGGCCCTGCCCTCACCCCCTGCCTGCTGACCGCAGGGACCCCCAGCCCCACCCAGCACCTCCTCGCCTCCCGGCTTCTGGGTTCCACTGACTCTGTGCTCTACTCCACATCACTGAAAGTCCACAAATACGATGACAACCACAGTAGGTGACACTTGTGGAGTGGAGCTGCTGCCTCGATCCTCCTGCTGAACCCCAGTGCTGAAGGTAAACAAGTCACCTGCTCCAGGGTACCGGGTGCAGCGGAACCCGTCACCGCCCCGCAAACTGCTCCCCCAGGGCCTACGCAGCCCCAGGCTGAGGGTCCAAGTGTGTCCACGTGGAGCCAAAGGCCCATGGCATGCCAGCCTACTGTGCGCTGAGGGGGGCGCTGGCCAAAACCCTCAGGATGGAAAGCACAACACATCACAGCACCACAGGGTAAAATACTTCTAGGAAGCAGAGTAAGGACAACTGACATGTGGCACAGGACAGAAGTCCCCCTCAGGGTCCCCATTTCACTCACAAACCCTGAGGCACAGGGAAGGACACACGGGCCCAAGTCCACACAGTAAGGGAGAGGCAGAGCCAACCTGGGTGGGCAGTTGACATAAAAAAGGCGTGGCCTCCACAAGGGGGTGGGGCTAAATCCATGGGCTGAGAGGGCAGAGGAGTTCCACCCAGAGGAGACCCCTGATCCAAGGCAGCCAGGCAGGGGTCCGGAGCCCAGCTGCAAGTGCACAGGGCGGGTGCCACACTGTGGGCAGGAGGTGCTGCTGGGGACGGGGCGGAAGGCTGGAGGGCAGAAGGGGGTCTGGGGTCTAGGAGCCCAGTGAGCTGATGGGGGATGTGCTGTAGGGAGATTCACTCCAGCGATGGGGGATGGGGTGGAGGAGCTGCAAGTCGAGGAAGGTCAAGGGTTCAGAGCTGCGGGAAAGAGGAAGAAGGGGGAGGGCCTGCCGAGGCGCCTGCTGGGGTTTGCCCGCTCTTGCCTTTGAAGCCACCGCCCCACTGTCCCCTGGTTTGGGCGAGGCTGCTCCTCCCAGGGGTGGGGCTGTGATGCAAGTGGCCACTTGCTGTCCCAGGGAGTGGGTTGGGATGCCATGACCTCAGCCAGGCTAAGGACAGGCCCTCCAGAACCCCGAACTCGGGCAAAGGCTCGCTAATGCTCCACCACAATGGCTCTGCCCGCAGGGCGGAGGCTGGAGCAGCTGGTGGCCATCTGTGTCACCACTCAAGGAGAACCCACCCCAGTGGCCCTCAGGAAGGGGGACAAAGAAAGAGGACTGCAGGGGAGAGGAGGCAGGCTCACCGAGGCGGCTTGTGCCCCGCAGCTCCCAGCGCAGAAGCTACAGCTGGGCATCCTGCCGCGCTCCTCTGCCAGGCTCCTACTGCCCTGGCAAGGCTTCCAGGGGTTCCCGGGAACTGGGCTGGGCACAGAGCTATGACAGAGGAGGTGAGAGCACAGGGGTGACGAAGGAGGGGCCAGGCCAGCCCCGGACCAGGGTCAAGGCGGCAGGGCAAAAGGCCCCCAGTCCTGCTACAGGAAGAAACAGGAGGGTGAGGCAGGGCGCTGGCTTCCAAGGCCAGAAAAGAGCCCGGGGAGGATCTGTCTGGGGAAGGTTAGAGCCTGAGAGCCCCTACCCAGTTCATGCAGGGAGAAGCCAGGTGCTGCTTCTGAGCCTCCAGCCGCTGCACACCTGGGGAGAGGTGTCGGGAAACAGGAGCCTGTGCCAGGAGGGATGCTTTCTTCTCAGGCCTGCCAGACACCTGGCAGGGATGTGGGGCTCCCCATGCATCACAAGGGAGCAAATGTGTCATTCGTAAATCACAGTCTCTCAAGAGGTGAGAACTTAAGCCTCTTCCCTAGAGGCTAAGAGCATGGGTTCCAGAGCCAGCCCAGCTGGATTCAAGTCCAAACCCTGCCACTTTCCAGCTGTGTGACCTGAGTTTCTGCATCTGGAGAAGGAGAACTATTGTAGTACCTGCCACACAGAGCTGATCTGAGGCATAACCAAGATAAGGTAGTTAAGTGCAGTGGCTGGTATGTAGCAATGGCCAGGGAGGTTTACTAGTTGGAGTTCTAAGTCCACAGTCAGTGGGTCATGAGGACTTGGCAGGGGAAGGAACGTGCTTTTTCAAGAGGAACAAAAGTAGACAGGACAACCAGGACGTGCCTATGTTTTGTCCAACAGATGGCTGGGGAGCGAGCAGACTCCAGCTGAAGCAGATGAGCCTTCAGATCCTGCAGCCCATTCACAAGGATCAACAAGCAGCAGGAAAAGCATTTTTAGCTCCCAGACAGACACTCCCCACTCCCATCCCTGCAGAGTGTGAGCAGAGGGCTCAGCAGAAAGCCACAGGCAGCTGGAGGAAGGAAGTGTCCTTGACCACCAGAGTAAGCCGGGTGCCCAGTGGCCAGGAGCGGCTGCGGGGGACCCACGGGCAGGATGAGGTGCTTTCTTCCTCTATCACCTTCTCCCTCTCAGTGGAGAAAACAGTCTCCTCAGAGGCAGGACTCCGATGGCAGAGGGGACGATGGGTGTGCAGCTGGAGGAAAGCCACTGGATTTAGGACGAGGCCAGCAAAACGCAGCCTCAGAGCGGGCAAGGCCAGAACAGTTGCTGACAGTGCACAGGGCAGAGGAGAAGGAGTTCACACTTAGTCCACTTTCGAAAGCATTCACCAAGGAGACAGGAGAGAGTCAAAGGCTTGCCTTGGTCCTGCTCTACCCTCTCTCCAAGTGAGTTGTAGCACTTTGTGCTTCGGATATTGTAAGCAAATTATTTACAAAAGCAATGAATGAATGTCTAGAGACAATGCTCAAGGAAAAATTTTAGAAAACAGTACATTTACTTACACCCCCCCACACACACACACACACACTCTCTCTCTCTCTCTCTTAGTAAAGCCCTGTCCATAGTAGACACTTCATAAATACCCTTTGAATTGAAGTAAATGCAAAATATTTCAATTAGGAAAGCAGCTAAGGAAAGAAGAAGCCACATGATCCCTGGCACCATTTGCTACTTTCCTCTATTTCCCAAATGACCCTACAGTTTGCAAAGGCACCATCCTGAGCATCTCACACATACTGACTCCATCTGGATGACAGTCTTATGGCAGATAAGGAAACCCAGGTCCCCAGAGGTCATGTATCCTGCCTAACCTACACAGCTAGGAAGTAGCAGCTCTGGGATTCAAACCCACACCCCGAGGTCCAGAGCTCATGCCCCAACCTCCAGGCCCTAACCAACCTCCAGGCTGTGCTGCCTTTGTCTAAAGCCTGTTTCCAACCTTAAGACCAACGACTGGGAGGGAATCACATCCCCCAGCTCCTTCAGGATCCTATTACCAGTGAGGCTGAGCCTCTCCCCTCTACTGAGGGGCTTATGGCGAGCCACACCACCTATTCTTTGCTTTCCCGGTTCACACAGGGAGCACACTGCACTCACAAATCTTAAGTATACAATTTAAGGATCATTCACTTAAGTATACACCTGTGTAACCCCCTCCAGATCAAAATATAAGACATTTCCAGCTCCCAGCACCTCCTCCATGCCACTCCCCGCCCCATTCAGTAGCTCTGCACCCTAAAGGTAATGGCTATTTGGATTCTTCCCACTGTGGGTTAGATTTACCTCTTCTAGAATTTTACATAAATGGAAGCAAATAGCATACATTCTTTCCTATGTGGCTTTATATTCTTCAAGTTAAGAAGCTCATACATAACCAGGACACATGGTTGTAGGAGAAAGGACAATGCAGCTTTTCTCTCTCCGGCATGAAACCCCAGGAAGGCTTCCGGTTTGGATCACTAACCCTACAAAGAGGATGGTGGGTTGGGTTGGACACTGGAGTTTGCAACTGTGTGAGCTGACCCTGGAAAACCAGTGAACCACAGGGGGCAAAGGAGAGGAGAGGAGCTGCCTGGAGAGGGTGCTGCCGAGTCAGGATATCAAGCAGGTCACTCATACCGCTGCGGGGTCCAAAGAGGGAGAGGCTTTATGAGGCTTTAAAAAGCTCAGATCCGGTGCCTCCAACAGATCCCCCAGAGGCGCCCAGGACCCCCACCAGCTCCTCCCAGTTGGGCCTTTGCGGATCCTCCCCCAGGAACTGACAATCTCCCCAAAGATCGCGAATCGCTTCCCTACCTGTGCACTGTTGGATGAAGTGCTGGTACTCGGCTCCCTGCTCCCCGGGGACGATGGTTGAGCCTTCATATTTAAAAGTCACCCTTTGGGTTGGGAGAAGAAAAAAACACACACATCAGCGCTGGCGGTTGCAGGGTGCAGCGCTTCCAGCAGGCCAATCTAAGAGATGCTCTGGACAAGGGGCCAGCGCTGGCTTTCCACGCTGTCCTGGAATAAGGATGCAGAAGACAGCAAGGGATGACCCTTAATCCGTCCCGTTTGGAAAACGGTTCGACGCACCAGGCCCCTCGAAAGCTCGGGGAGCGGGGCTTGGAGATCAATGAAAAGTTCCTCACCAGATGACGGCCGAGTTGTCGTCGCGCACCAGATTATACGCCGCCCGGCAAGCCTCCTTGTCGATCTTGGTGGCCATCGCAGCGGGGCTGCAACCAGAACACTGCCCGGAGCGACCGAGCGCGCCCCGGGCCCGCTGCAGGGATCGGAGAGCGGCGGGAACGCGCCGAGGGCGGGCTGGCGGGATGCAGCGGCGACGGCGACAGCAGCGCAGCGCCAGCGAGCTCCGAGCACTGAGGCGGCTCCGACTGCCTACCGAGAGCGCGCGGGGATCGCAGGCCCGGTCGCCCCGCCCCTCCCTTGCTATTGGCTCCACGGGCGGCGGCTCGCCCCGTCCCTAGTTTCCATTGGTCTTCCGGCCAAGGGGCGGGGCGCCTTCAGTCTTCAGCGGCCAATCCCAGCCACGGTGGGTGGTGCAACCCCGCGGGGGGTGGAGCAGGGGCCTCTCGACGGCCGGTCCTCCCCCACCCACCCGCTCTCCTCTCCCCTCCCGCAGCCCTTCCCCTCCCCTTCGCCACTCTCCTCCTTTCCTCCCAACCACTCCTCGAAGCTCCCTCTCCCTCGACTCCTTTTCTCCCCATTTCCGACTCCCCAACCTCTCGGCCTCCCTCACCCTTCTCTACTCCCTCCTCCTGCCTTCTCTCTCCTCCTACTCCCTCCCGGGCTCTCCTCCACCCCGTTTGCTCCCCCTCCCCTTCTTCCTCCCTTCCCTTCTCCTCCGCAGCCCCTCCTCGCTTATTCTCCGCCCTCCTCTCCCAGCTCATCCCACCCTAAGCCCCTTCGGCCGCCCCTCACCTCCCTCCTCCCCAGCTCTCTTCTCCCTCCCCCTCCTCTTCTTCCTCCTTCTCTCCCCCTCCTTTCATCTCCCTCCTCCTCACCCCTCCACTACCTCCTCCCCCTCACTCCTCCCTCCCTCTCCCCCCCCCCTGCCCCCCCGGCCGCCGGGCCCTCGAGCGCCCCCCCCCCCCCCCCCCCCCCGGGGGGCGGCAAAACGCCCCCAACACGCGGCGAGCAGGGGGGGGGGGA